ATATATATATATATATAAGATATTCGTTTACTTTATGAGTATAAGTTTATCAAAATTCTTCTCGTTTAATAACTCATGTTCTATATCAAATTTTAACGATCCAACTGTTGAATTTAAAATTTTTAAAGCATAAATTAAATTTACAACTTTTTAAAAATTTGAAAATTATTTAATATTTTATTTTATAAATTTAAATGTAGACTTATTACTCATAGAGGAAATTGATCCTTAAGATATATTTCATTTCATTATCAATGTTTCTCTCAAAAGAATATGATCTAACTTAAATTCCAATTCAATGATGTTTAGGCGGATACTCTAGCTTTCGAAATGTGAATGCTATATCTTTTCTTCCCTCGTGGGTTTTTTTTAGTGGCATTGCACTGAGTGTTGTCAAGTATGTGTCGTTTCGTTTTTATTCCTTTTGGACCACCATGCGGAAATTTTGGAGTGCTACTATGTTTGGCAATTTGAAGAGAAAGTGCTTAGGACAATTTGGATGAATATTGGAGAGTACAGTGAACCAAATATATAGCAAAAAGAAGAATATGACGTTGACCATTAATATTGCGTCTCAATCTGATTGTTATATCTTACAGTTTCCAATATATTCCTAATTTGTGCAAAACGCCAGCAACCACTCCCCAGAAAGTGATTTCTGCAAAGATCACATACAAGATGGTTCCCACCCTCTCCGAGTGCCAAACATTCACAAACACATGCTTCTTGATCCAGTGTACCTGTTTTTTTTGTTTCACGTGCAACAATTCTTAGTTAGCTCCTTGTCCTTGCTACTTTAAATAATATCAAGGGGTGACTGAGGAGCACAAAAATATTTTGTAAAATTATGATAATTAAAATATAGGGACAAAACTTATACAAAATTTGTTAGTTTTTTTTTTAATTCTTTTTTATAGTATTGTTCATCTATTATGTTAATCTCTAATGTTTACTTTTATTATACATATTACTAAGCAAAACTTAAAATTTTAATAGGAAAACAATACCAAAAAAAAAAAGAAGAAACATTTGACATAGAATATAAATGAAAAATTGGTTCTTACAAGTGAGTTACGTGGATCTTCATAATACCATCCATTTACAAATGCTGCGAAGATGCCCTGGGCTGCCATCACAAACACTAGCATAGCATTCATTCCTATCCACTCCAAGAACAAGAATGGAGTGCGGAGCCCCCAAATATCGATCTGTTTAACATGAAAAAAGTAAAAGAATAATCAAAAGAAACAATTATTACTAATCCAGAGAGATGATTTTTCTACATGAATTAATGCATCCTATACCTACCAGTATGTAAAGCCCTGAGAAGACAATTCCAGCAGCACCAGCAGTGAAACAAACATAGCTGAAGCTGTAGAGTTGCTTGTTAAGTGGGATAGCTACAATATTCATTCCATAAAAAAATTTGTTAAAATTTATCTTGCATGCAATATACTAGCTAGGTTTCTTATTAGATGGATTTTGAGGTGCATGCATGTGTCTCGCTAGCTTACCATCTGTAAAGTGAAGGATGATGGCTATTATGAGTAACACAAAACCCATTGAGACCCATTGTTTTAGCCTCTCCGAATGACCCTGTCAAATTTTATAAACTTATTACTAAATTGTATTTTATATATTTAAGTTGTGTACAACAAGGGTGATGTTTTGTAACCTTGAAATGAATCAACACGTGCCCATAATGGATGCCAATAGTGCCAGAGAGAATAGCTGATATAGAACTGGTTTCAGAAAAATATTATTTATCACTAACTTCTTAAAAAATTAAGAAACGAAATCTGATTTTAACTTGGAAGAGAAATTTCATTAATATAATAAATACTTTAAACAACCTCAACAAGCCTTCGGGTTCAAAAGGAGACCGACACCAACTTGGAGCATCTTCACGAAAAGGACCTTCGTGTGGAGAACTGAATGTACACGCCTATAAGTTAATGTCATAGGAAAATTTAGAAGGGCAATATATAGTAGAATCAATTTCTTTAGAATTAGACTAATACCAAGATATTATATAGTTTGAACTTAGAAATAGAAAGTAAAAAAAAAAAAAGAGTAGGAAAATTGTGGACTTTCTCAATGCTCAATTACCTTCAAGCGTCTCCAAACAGGTTGAGAGTAAAGATGGTTGACCCCCCAAACTTGTCGGTCCACGTACCCAACAGCATTACATGCTGGCCCTAGGTGTCCTCTCATTCCACATATGACCTAATAAATGAAGGGAAATAAAAAAAAAAACTTAATAAAAACACGAGGACTTAGGTTGGATTCTCGTTGCGACTATTTTTGTAATCTTTCTTATCTTAAAAAAAAAAAAAATAATAGTATGTACCGTGTATCTCTTTGCTGGTTCGTCTTCGTCAAAATGATCGACGAAACTCCAATCGGGAACGTAGAGGGTGTAGGTTGTGATCATATAAATGAAAAAAGCCACGAAGCCCCCAAACCTAAGCCACACGTGCATATATGTATGTACTAATCAAATTAAGCAACTTCACAATTTTCATCGATTAATTTCAGTTGAATTCCTATTCATATATCACTTTATTTTTCTTTTTATTCCTTTTGTAATTAATCAGCACAATATTGAAGTTTGAAATTAAATATAATGTGTGTTGCATTTTCTCACCACTGCCATCTGTAGGCAGTAAAAATAGATAGGTGTCCAGAACCCAATGTAGTGGGTCTAAGCTTGGTGGTAAATGTCTCTATTAGAGCTACAACACAGTATACAAGAGCTATTCTCTGCACACAAAAATTCAGAAACGCGGTTAAATTTTAATTTGAACCATATACATTTTAATTTAATTTGCATCAGCCCCATATACATTTAATTTAATTTGAACCATACCTGGAGAATGCCACACCACCGGATAAATTTCATGTTAACTCCATACTCGAGATCATCAGGTGCATGAGAATAACCCCCTGTAGGATATGTTATATATATATAATCATATTTATCAGTGCATCTGGATTTATTTACCTATGTATTTGGGCAACATTTTTTTTACCTTGTAAAATTATACCCCAGAAGAGAAGCTTCAATGTCCTAAGGATTATCTTCTTTACGGCAGGCTTTATCTCGGGGATTCTCTGCATTAATGTAATCAAAGTTTATTATTATTATTATTATTATTATTATTTTTTAAAAAAAGGCTAGTAGAAATTGCACATAGAACATAGTAGTATATATATATATATAGGTACCTTTAGTGCAAGGGCTATGGCAACCCCAACAATGAAAAGAAAGAAAGGCATAACGAAATCGGCCAAAGTACATCCATTCCACGGGGAATGATCAATGCGTGGATAAGCTTCACCAGCATCGTCTACCAGTATCATCAACTAAGATAATAGATTGTCATAAGAGTAAAAGAAGGTTAACAATTAATTTTTCATAAATATGAATGGAAAATAGTTCAGATAATTCGTCACATTAGGTTTATGAAAGTCAGATTTATTACTAAATAAATTAGATTAAGATTTTTATATATAAATCATATTTAATTAAAAAATGTTCATTAAACTTTCTAAAGAAATTCAAGGCTTGGGACCAGCTTGCTGTGAGCTTCAGGGGGGTATAGAACTCACTTCTCTACCTTACATAATTAAGTTTCTGTTTGTTTTGGTATTAAATATTTATTTACATTTTTTTCAAAGAGAAAAAACGCTAGGCATTATCCATGTAAAGTATCAGGTTTTGCTTAGAAAGCCTTGCTAAATAGGATACCAAGTAAATGTAACATGATTAAGCATAAGGTTCTTAATATCTCTCCCAGTAGATGTGCTTGGTGCAGTGAAGATTTGGAGAATACTTCTCACCTATTATTTGGATGTTATTATGCCTATTCTGTATAGTTATTTGTTTTTGCTTGATTTGGTGTTTCAACAGTTTTACACAACTCTGTCATGAAAATTTTGCTCATTTTATTGGATTTTTAAGATGCAGCAGTAGAGATAAGATGAGGTGGTCTGTGGTTTGGCTAGCCACAATTTGGTCTATGTGGCTTGCTAGAAATGATGTCATTTTTAAAGATAAGATGGTGGCAATTAATGATTTAGTGAAATTAATCAAACTATATAGTTAAAATTGGATTAAGGCCAAAGATAAGTCATTTTTTTACCCATTCTTAGCGTGATTTTCTTCTTCTGGTGTTTGTCTTAACTTCTAGAATTATATATGATACTTTTTGATTCTATACTCATCATGGTGTTAGTTTTTAGTTTTGTATCTGGTTTTTTTTTATCTGAAATTTGGGATTACTGAACTTGTTTGATTATTAGATGACAATTTATGGTCCTAGCTTTATAATGATGGTAGACATTACAATTTGGTGATTATCTTTTGTATGGACTACGTTGGATTTTATTTAGGTGACTTTGTATTTTGTAACAGGTTGGGGTACTCCTTGTACTCCCCTTAATTTAATTTTTTGCTTATAAAAAAAAATTATCCGTGTAACATAAATTTATTCTATTAGAACATGTTGATATCTTGGATGAGAACTTATCCACCAAAATTTTCTACTTAGAAAAATCCATCTAAGAGCATTTACTAGGATGAAAACTTTGTGTCTCTTCTGTCATATTAACACGAAATAGACAATGTAAAAAAAATAACAATAAGAATAAAAAATTACAAAATTATAAATATAAAAATTAAAAATATTTATCCAAAATTATAGAGAGATTGAAAAAGATAAGTATGAATATAAGAATTAAAAAAGTTATTTAATTTTTTTTTTATAATGAAAATGACGTGGTTGGATATAAATTTGTGACTACATTTTTTCAACTTTATTCTATCCTGCCAACTTTAAAATAAATGCATCAATTGTAAACCAGCTAGTTTTACCATGCATAATGATTGGCAAAAGAAAGAGTTATTGCAGTAGACTAACCACTATGGTGAGACCCCTAAATGCATCGAGAGTTGCAACCCTCTTGGTCTTGTGCTTAACCAGTGGTGGTTGCTCCTTGACAGACTCACCAACAGCCACAGGGTTAGCCATTTTGTCTTTGTCATGATCAATAATAGAACCTCCGTTGCTGGTTTTAATGCTTTCCTCCTTCTTCAAGTCACCATTCAATGGTGATTTGATGCCTTCTTCCATTCTCTTAGATTCTTCATCCATGGCTGAATATAGTGAATATTGAATAAAGTTGAAAGTATACTTCTATATAGGGAGAGATAGAATTAAAGAATTAATGTGACAGAGAGTTCCAAATGAAGTAGAAGGCCGGCTGTGCTGGCCTTGTAATATATAAAGTCAATGTAGGGTGGGAAATATAGTACAAATATAAGAGACAGATGAAGGACTTTGGAGAGAAAGACAGGACAGAGACATTTGTTACATTACTATTAGCATAAGCTGGTGCATGTTAATTAGTCCACCCTTTGTTTTGTTGCTTCTGCTTAGTTGCTAGTTCCTACCTCAATATTGCTATTTACTTTGAGTACGTTCCATTGTTTTTTACACTTGTCTCTTATAAAGATTCCTCTTCATCTTAGTTACGACTTGACCAAAATTTCAAAATGGACAATGTTTTGTCTTCAAATGATCTTTAAGCCAGGTGTCTTTGGATAGCCACTATAAATGAATAAGATTATCTAGCTACATCAAGTAAATTATGAAAGAAATTTAGGAGAAAACAAAGGAGAAGTTTTCAACAAAGATGTTTTTTATGTTATGCAAAAAGAGAGTTGTTATATTGAGTTATACTTATTTGATTGATTTGATCATTATGTCATTCAAAAACTAAGATCTATAAATCATGCTTATGATCCAAAAGTTATCCTCATCTTTTACCTCAAATCTTCTGATATAAATACAAACATATAAGACTTTAACTTTGAAATTGGTAACACACAAGTTTCTAATAAAAATATTGCATAAGTTCTTATAATCTTTATACAGAATGATCTTGTCTAATTATCAAGTGCCAACCTAATAAAATTCCTTGTTATATACACTAACTTTTTTGTTACAGAAAAAATTAAATAAGATGAGTCTCAAAACTTCAATATAATTAAGAGCAAATATCAAAAGTTCAAAAAATACTTACAAATTATTTATTAAAAAATTCATTCTTCAGCAGTAGAAATCAAACTCATATCTTTGTAAGATATGACTTCGTTCTTTACTAACGGAACAACCTTTATTAGTAAAAGAGTCTCCTTACTTACATTAAATTGACTCATCACTCTAATTATAAAAATAAAATAATATGTGGGAATATTTTCGCTTACGATAAATAAAAGTGGATAAAATTTCTTGGAAATAATTATAATCATCATCGTATATAAAATAATATATAAGAGTAGTGCGTAATGTATAATAATAAATTATTTTTTAATAATAATCGTAATTTATGCATAAATAAATAAATTGTCATACGCCAGTAGGTACTACCTACTGTCATTAGAAGATATCACGTATAGACATAATAAAATAAGAAAGGACATTTTCTGCTACAGGAATCAAAATACATAGCCAATTGGCATAGTTACGCAGAGGTTGTGTCGGATAATTCTATAACACATGTAGATTTGAAGAGCTTTCAAAATTTCATGCACTAATTTGATGAAAAAGTATGAAAATATATAACCTAACTGACTGTATTTCATGTGATCCATGTTTTGAGATCAATGAATGAAAAAGGAACTATTATTTTACAGAAACTATAATTAAAACTCATTTATTTTACAAATTAAAAATATGTATTTTTTTTGTTTTCTGGTTTCAGATCTTTACAGGCCCAACTAACATTTTTGGATGGCCCAACCAACAAATTTAGAGGGCCCAACCCACTTGGGATTAAGCTCCCGGCCAGAATTTTATGCGCCTAGTGCAAGCCATGGTGTGGCCAGCCCACACACTGACTTGGTTTCTGAAAAAACAAATGATAATCTGAAGTTTTAAAAAGATAAAAATGGACATAAATAAGATATTACTGCAACAAATAAAAAACAAAAAGACTAAATCTAAGAAAAAAAATTATTGCAAATCAAAATCATCTAAGAAACAAAAATTGGATACTTCAAGTGTTTTGACTCTTATATGTTTTAACTAAAAATTAAGATTTGATCTTTATTATAAAGTTATGATCGAAAGTATCAATTTATGAGTTGATATGATAGAAATGATTCATACCTCTTATTTAACAAAAAAAAAAAAAGTATAAAGGAAAGAGGGGGAGGTTGCTAAATTTTAAATATAATTAAGGTTGAATGCAAAACGATCTTACTAGTTACTATGAAATATGTTGCAAAGTTAGGTAACAATAGAAGAGGCCAGCATTCACGTGAGAAGGAATTGTATTACAGTTAGTAAACTACTAATTTAGTTTGTTCTTTAGTTGAGTTTTCTGGCATGGATGCTCCAGGCACAAGGCACTGTTGTTAACTTGATGAGACGTTTAGTCCTTCAAAGTAAATGGAGAGCTTCAAATGTGGTATTGGAAGAACACATTGCTTTGTAAAATTGTTCCACATATTATGAGTATTAATTCTTGGGATGGAGCCTCAGCCATGTGAGGTGTTGAGTGTAACAAGGACTGGTCTCCAATTCCAATATGCATATCATCATCTTTAGATTTGAAATATATAACAAGTTAAAGTCAAACCAGCAACACAAGTGGCAGTGGTGGAATATGAAACAAAAGGTGTGATGAGTGATTGGTGCCAACTGCCAAGTGATGAAAGGAACAAAAGGAAGTGTGGTATAATTGGCGGAGATAATGATGAACAAGTTAAGGTGTATCTGAAAACCTGTTTGCATCTTTTATACAATGGAGCTTGATATGCATGGATTGGTCTTACATTGAATGAAACCAAACAACAAACATGTGATGCATAGTGTTGTTGTAACGTTGTTTTAAGGGAAGATGAAAAGTTGAAACCAACTCACGTTACAGTAACACAAATATGCATGGTCGTGAGCAAAGGAGCATAAGGTAGAAGCGTTGACAACTATCAACAACTAGCTCGAAACAACATTTTACAATCAACATATTACATGTTTAAAAGCTTCCGTCAAGGATATCTTTTTTAAACTGAACTATAACTTTAAATGTTTATCCTATCTTAAAACTTGTTTAATTAAAAACCCACTTAATTACTTCTTCAAGTTTTTAAAAAGGTCTAATTAAATAGATTAATCAAACTAAATTTATATGAGGCATGTCTTTTTTAATTAAAAATCCACTTACTTCTTCAAGTTTTAATTTTTTTAATTAAATAGATTAATCAAACTAAACTTATGATGGATATTCTTGATAGATAGAAAGGGAGATTTGTGAACTCGTTTGAAAGGAAAATTTTTTACGTGCAAAACTTCTTATTTTAGAGGTGGGGTTGCGTTTATGTAGGAAAAAGATGTATTTAAATTTCTTCTTTGTGAGTTAGATTGTGTAACTGTTATCTTTACTATTTTGTGAGTAATTGTAATATGACTTTTTTTTTATGTAAACATGCAGATATTATTATTAATATTAGAGAATTTTTAGTTGTCATTGTCATGTCTATTGCAAAAGTACTCTTAGAGAGGATAATATTGTTGCTTATGTATTGACCGAATGAAAAATTATATTTATTTCGATGTTTATTAAGTGGAGAAGTCTTCCAAATTTTATTTTGCATGAAGTTGGTTTAGATTTCATATAATTTTCTATATTTGTTTATATATTTATTGATATAAAAAAAATACTAAATTTATAGATAAGTCATGTGAACTTAAGTATATAAGACAAATATATAATAATGTTAAAATTAAACATTGCATTGTTATTATAAATTTAATAGAATAATAATTATTACTACTAGTTAAATATAGGCATACATTATTATTATTACTATTATTAAATAACAGATAATTAATTCTGTTAGCATAAAAATTAATTTATAAGTATACACTGTTAATATAAATTTATAATGTTTTTGTTATTGAATTTATTTTTATTAAAGAAGAAACCCCATTAAATTTTTCACAGTTTTTTCTTTTGACATATGAGTTTTTTTTATATATATAATATAATCATCATTAAAAAAAAAATATATTTTAAACTAAGGAAACAAAACCTAATTATTTTTTATTAAATATAATATACAACAATTTTGATTTTGATGAAAAAAATCACGGGTTTCTTTGTTTTGAAATGAAATAGGTTTAATTTTGATAAAATCAATTTTGAGTTATATATCGAATGCAATTGAAATGTAATTAAACTTTAAGTTTATCACAATATTTATTTTTGATCAGCGTCTTGGCAAAATAAATTGATTCTAGATTACCAACAAGTATGTTATTGAAAGAAAAAAATGATTCTAGATTTAGTGAACGGTTACGTTAATTTAGAAGGTTTTTTGTTTTCATTAGGTTATGTTACTTTTTAATTTGTATATTGAACATTTAATATTTCTATTTGTTTCAAATATTATTATTTAGTTTAATTCCAATTTTAAATTTTGATATACTAATATCATAACTTTTAAATAACTTGAATTTTAGACATTTCATACAAATAAAAAAAATTCTTAGTTCAAATAATTTATTCATTTAAAACTTTTTATAAATTTTGATCTCCGTAATTAATTTTTTATTTAATATATCATATATTTGATTTATTAATAATAAAAAAAATTATTCTTTTTAATTAAAATAACTGTACAGTAAAAAAGTTATTAACTAAAAAAATGACTTTATAAAAATATTTGTAAATTAAGAGAAGTGGAGAAACGTAGAGGGAAGAAATGGGGAGGTGTCATGTGTCTTTCTCATTTCCCCCACAGGCCACAGCCACTCACTATCCATCTTTCTCGCCAGTCGCCACAATGTCTAATCTTTCCAAGGAATAGATCCAACTCACCTCCTTCTCTTCCTCTCATACTCATTCATATGCATTTCTACACAAATTACTTTGGCTTCACCTATTATATATTATTTAATATCACTAAGCTTTTTGGCTTAGATCGGGTTCACTTCTTTATTATATTCAACTTAAACTAGTCTGAGTTTGTGTCATGTTATGTAAGTTATAAGGTCAAACATCTTTTTCTCATTTATTTACTTTTTTTAATAGATTGTAAGTATTTTTGTAAAATAATAATTATAGGTCTTTTATAAGATTTAAATTCAACGAACTCATAACTCCAACTAGATTTTATCATATATTTTATGATTACTTATTTATTTCAGTCATATCAACAAAATGACGGTAAAATTTATAAATATTTATCAATTTTTTCAATAATTAATTTTTATTATAGAATCGATTAATCACTTTTAATATAATTACTCCTTTTCGATCACACTTGTATATAAAACTTAACTCTAATATTTTACCTGAGAAAATAAAATTTAATATCATTCAAATTAATAACTTATTGATATTTTTTATTTATGAGTTTTAAGGAATTAATATCTTTATAAATATGTTTTTTATACAAAAGTTCAAGAATCAACAACTAATTAATTATATATGTATAAAAAAATTATATTTAATTATCAAAATTCTATATAAAAATAATATCTACTGATTTACAATTCTAAATTAATTGTTTTGAAAAAGATATATTCTTTCTTATATACATATAATTTTTTTTATCATTTATTAATAAATTAATACATTTAAATGTTTTTAAAAATATTTTAATTTTCTATTAAATATGACAGTTTAACAACTCTATAGTAATCAAACATGGTAACTTGGTATTGCAACTCCATGGCATGCTAACGACACCTGAGAATTTTCAAACATTATTCACTTCCTAATATTGTTTTTATCTTGTTCCACTAAGCCGCTTCTGGTGCTACGCAACATCGCGGTGTCCTTCTTCTGTTTCACGAAAAACAATACTATTACCAATTTTTATCTCATTCCCCGATTTTTCATCTTCCACTCTGAACTTTCTATAGATATCTCCTTTGTAAAATTTTCTAGTCCTCATCACCAAAATAAACGAAACAATGCATGCAAACAGCGTTGCAGCCGTGATTATGATAAACGCCATTCTGTAGCACTGCACCCCTACGCAATTTAGTTCCTTCCCCGCTTCTCTCGCGAGTCCTTTCGCCTTCAACTGTTTCAAAGCCTCTTTATCATACAAAACACCCGTTAATCTTACGTTCAGAATGTAAGACCCAACAGGGCTTGCCACAGCTCCAAAGTTGTACAACGTGGAGTAGTATTTAAGGCCAAATACTTCTGATATGATTGCAAACATTAGTGGCCATTGAGCTCCCAAACAGAACCCAATAATCACCGAAGACAAGTAGAGAGAGTTTGGGACACCAAGTGCGATCAGAATATGGCCAACACATGAGAGTAGGATAACTAGAGTGAGCATAGAGGGACGAGGGAATTTGTATTTGGTCAAGAAGATTTCAGAGGCATAACCTGCCACTACTCTTCCCAAGTAGTTCCATATGCTTAATAACGACACACATGTTGTAATGCTCTTCCTAGGGTATCCCAATGACCGTCCAATCTGTCCCAAATTGTCTATGGCTGTTAATGCTCCTCCAGCACCAAATGTTGTTGCAATAAACAAAATCAGCATGTCAATGCTGAACAAAGCTTGCAAAATGGTGTAGTCTTCTCCTCTCTTTGGAGGGTTGAGTATGTTCCCTAGACAAGAACTTTCTTGTACTTCTTGCTCCACGTTTGAATTTGGGTGTGGCACATCAGTGACTACTTTCAACTGCGGTGTAGAATCAGACAACCCTTGTGTTTTTGTTTTCAATTGGTTAAATTCCTCTCTAAATACCACAACAAGTGGGAGGAGAAGAAAGAAAAATACCACAATTCCATCTGCTACATATTCAGACCTTGTGAAACTGAGCTTGTTCTGCATGATGATCAAAACCATGAGAAATCCAGCTAGGGCGAGTGAGATATATAGAAGGTGGTAGAAAACTTTGTTCTCATTGGGTTGGTGTAGGGTATTCAAGATCCTTATTGTTGGAAGGAAAAGGAAGGAAACAGCAGCAGGGAGCCAAGCAATGAGCAAGATAAGAGCCTGAGGGTTGTGATCACCATAGAATGCATGGTAGAGTTGTGCGATGATGGCACCACTTAGACCAACGTAGCCTTTGAGAAGGCCTAAAACATTGCCACGGCTTCCTGGGAAGTTCTTGACACACGTGACTGTGCCACCTGTGTTGGCGAAGGTTTGAGAATTTGAGCCAATGCAAATGTAAAGACACATTAACCACACTTGGGGTTTGGTGATTTGGCCAGTGACAGCGAGCCATATCATGAAGTAGCCGAAGAAGTTCATGATGATCCCAATTGAGAGAACCACCCAGGGTGGAGTTATCTCATTCACTAACCCGGATATGATTCCAACGGTGGCACCAACGTCTTTGAAGAAGCTTAGCAAGTTGAGAGTGGTTTGGTCGTACCCCAAAGAGGTTTTGATTTCGTTGGAGTACATGCCAAACATGTAGGCTGCACCAGCAGCTGCCATGATGAGCAAAGATGCAAATAGCATGAACCAATGGCCAGTGAGAACATGGTAGCTCAAGCCACCACCAGTGAACTTTGCCATCACCATGATGTTGTGTTAATTTGGGGTAAAACACCACTCTTTCTTTGGTTGTGTTGGTAAATGGTGCATAACCACGTTTAAATGGATGGGAGTGTGAAGATTTTTTCCCTACGTGTGTGGAAAAAAACAGTTGCAGAGGAAATCATTATGGTTTGACATGTGACGCCAAAGTTGCGGAAAAGTAAGAGCAATGGTATTAAAAGAAAGAGTTTTATAATAATGGTGTGCTAAGCACAAAGAAAAAAAATTAATATATTAGTTTAGAAAGACAAGCACTCTAAGCGTGCTGCTCAACAACCCAATGGTGACAATGAGGAATGAGGAATGAGAAATGAGGCGCTTACGTTAGAAAAAAAAATGATGGCTATGAATATGTGATTAATGGGCAAAGGAAGTGGTAGAAGCTAGCTGTGATAACAGATAACTATAACATTTGATTACATTAGAGGTTTTATAAATTAAACATGCATGTAACTAAAGAGAAGTGGAGAGAAACGTATAGAGAGAAGAAATGGTGAAGATATGAATTCCACAAACAGAAGACAGCAGTCATGCATCTTTCAGACACGACCTTCTTTCCATGGGATGAACTGACGTAGCATATGACGTTCTTCTTGCTCTCATTAGCCATTCATAAAATTTAGTTGTTGAATTAAATTTCGTCGGCAGAAAACGACGAAGAAATAAAAGTGGACAGCTAAGATGTAGTCCTTATCTTGCACGATCTTAAGCAGCGTGGCCACTAAGGATGTTAGTCGCCCCGTCTATCTATAAATAAGGCCTCAATGTAAAATTTGAGCAAGAGTGCTTCTTTGTAACAGCCCTCTTCCTACTTCTCATTCGGGGAAGGATAATATCCTTGAGGTAACACTCTGAATAGGGATATTATCGCCGAAGCGTGAAGTGGTGTATACACTTCTGGACGCTGGCTAGTCATCCTGATCCTGAACAAGCAAGATCCTTCGCCGGATTTTGTATAATATCTCTTTGACGAGGTATTCAACCTGTTTGTTCAGGACGGACACAGATTAGCTTCTGTTTTAAAAGGAGAAATCCTCAGAAAAGGAGTAGTAAAATACTCTCTCTTCGTTTCAACCAATCAAAAGAATCCCGGAAGGAATTCAACAAACAAATCCAAAGATCTACTCGGAAAACGAATAGGTATGAAAACCTCTTTGATTAATAATTCAAATTACTTTCAATTTCATATTGTTGGTAGAATTACTATGCATAAAGAAACAAGAATAGTTCCTATTCTTATAGATACAGGTGCATCTTGGTCATGCATTTGCAAAGGTTTGTGTGATAACATTCATACATTGAAAGAACCAAGCAAAGTTTATAACTTTGAAGGAAAAATTGAACAATATACTTCTTTTGCGAAGATAAAATTGAATCTTTTGAAAGATCAACAATTCCAACTTAAGATAATGATTTCTGAAGTTGATAAGAATGAAATAATCCTTGGAATGGATTTTTTAGAAAATTTTGATTTCAAAATAACAAGTGATTATTTGATTCTGAAAATTTCTCGTGTAAAACTACACCATGAAACAATTTAGAAAATTATTTCAGAATGGAATTAGTTTCGAATTTGGAAAACGAGCAAAACTATTTTTGTGATGGTCTTTTAGATCTGAACAAAATAGAAAAATCAGATTTTGATTTGAAAGAAAATGAAAACTTTAGAAACTCTGTTTTTAAAGACATCAAAAGAATTTTCTCTCGAGAAAATATTTTGAAGTTTGGAATTATGACTGGAGAAATCCCTGTCAAAATTGAAGAAACTACTGGAACTGTCATGCTTTCTGCAATTGACAAAAAAACAAATTTCTGAAAGAATAAAAATTTTTTCAGAAAAAGAAAGAACAAAAATCAAGTATGTTCATATTTCTACTTGTCAAGTTATCATAAAAAGCACTTTTATGAAAGGAATCGATTCGCCTTTACAACTTGTTTTGCGCGACAATCGTTTGATAAATTACAATGAATCTATCATTGCTGAAGGTTCAGGTAATTTAAAAATGGGTAAAATCAAATTTGATATCAATCTTCAAATTGGTTTAGCCATAAAAGATATAATCTTGACAGATCTATAGTTTTAGAATACAAATTTTTGAGAAAAGATTTTATGAAAACCGGTAACCATCCATTTTCTGTGTGTTATCGCATCAACTATGCTCTGTCTAATTCTCATCATAGTATAGAATTCAAACACAGAAAAAATTCATATAGATGAATTGTTTACTCCCTTCATAGAGCTAAATAGCCCTGTAGTAAGGAGAGAAGAAAAAGAGTCTAGGCTTATCTTAGAGAACCTAGATTTTCATCCGAAAGGATAGAACCTAAGGTAGTCAGACCTATCTTAGAAAAACAAAACTCTTTAGTTGTAAAGCCACCTGCTAGGTTATACAACGAGGAAAAAGAGGTCCTTAAACTGAAAGAGACAGTCTCAACCCTTTCAGAAAAAATAGACAGCTTAGATAAAAGAATCTAAGATGCCTGGAGAAACTTGAGAAGCTACCCTAGTTAGACACCTCAAGAAGGTTCAAGAATCCTAGTTAGACACCTCAAGAAGGTTCAAGAATTTCAAAAGAAATTCAGTGAACAATCCTCAAGAGGAATAGAATCTGCAGGCTATTGGGTCTCGCATTATGAAACCAAGGAAAGGAGCTTGAATCAAGCCTTAGAATTGGTAGAAAAGGTGAATGAAGAAGGAAGAAAATATCAACCTTCTGAAATTCATTGGTTTAAGTCTCTAACAAACATGTTAGAAGAAAATTCCGCAACAAGCAGAACTCGTGACCTTTATAGGATCAGAGTAGAAGCCTTGAGAAATAACCTTTCTAGGTAAAAAGTTCTTACCCAGAAAGCGCCGCGTTTATCTGGTATCAGAGCTAGAACAACAATCCTTGACCATGGAAAAACTATATTCTGAGAATCCTATTCTCGAATATTTTGACCAAAAATTAGAGGAAGAATCCTTGACAGAAATAGAGTTAGTCAACAGTGACATCCCTATAACTAAACCATTTCTGGTTTACAAACAAAAACTGATAAGACTTCCACAGAATCTCTTACCAGGAGCAGACTATGCTATAGGAGGATACAAAATAGAATCCAAACCTACTAGTATAACCCATAATGTTCAATATACCCTTAGAACATTAAATACAATACAATAAGTGTTATCATTTCTAGTATTGCACCAAATACCTTCCATATCTAGAAGCCAACATCTAGATTTAGAAGAAAACAAAAAGCTTAAGGAAATCCTTCAGGATCACCTTACCAAGCAAATAGACCAATTAGAGATAAATAGAAAAAGCATCCGACAGGATGTAGATTCTATAGAATCTCTAGCCAAAAAAGAGTATGATACTCTTTATGAGCACCAAAAGTCTATCTTGAATATCCTCACGGAAAAACAAGATGATAACAAACTAGAAAAACAAATAGCTGACCTTAAGTCTGTAGTTGAAAAACTCCAGATAGAAATTCATTCTATAGTCAAACAAGCCGTTGATCCTATCCTAGAAAAACTAGAAGGTCAAAGGTTAGAAAAAAGAAGCAATAGATCACGTTATAGATCTAGTAAAAGAGCTTAGCAACAAGCTATGACAGACGAACGAGTTAGGGACAAACTCGAACGTGCTCTAAAAAACCTTCAGGTTTTAGAAAAACGTCTCGACGAGACACTTGGAACAATTGCTGACACACTTGGAGGCAGAATTACTGCAACAAGATTGTGGATCAATGAGCAATGTTCGAAAAAGATTGCGAAAAAAGAGGCAGCAATAAGCCTTTGTTTCCAGAAGATTTCTTCTTCTGTTGGATCTTATGGCTGTAACAAGTCTAAGAAATCCAAAAGTAAAAGAAAAACAGTTTTTAAGAAAACTAGATTTTCTAAAAAGAAATGGAAGAAAAATCCAAACAAATATTTCAAAAAGAAAAAACCTTTTCAAAAGAAAAGATTCAAGAAAAAAGATGCATGTCCATCAGGTAAAAAATCATGCACATGTTGGTTATGTCATGAAGAAGGACATTATGCCAATGAATGTCCAAAGAAGAATCAGAATTCTAAGAAAGAATTTCTAAAATTAATAGTTTCCTATGATATGGAACCTATAGAATCTGATTTATCTTCGGATGATGAGGTATATAAGTTAACTTCAGTCTATGAATTTTCGGAATCATCCGATGAAGAAGAAAATTCTGACTAAAGGTAATCCAAATGTCACTTTTATTGTGATAAAAATACGAAATAGAAGTTATCCTGCTTACATTGATACAGGAGCAACATTCTGTTTTGGAAGCAAAAAGATTTCAAGATCTTGGAAAAGATTGACACAGCCAGAAGAAATTATCATTGCTGATCAATCAAAACACTACATGCACTTTGTAGTACAAAATCTTGTAATCCAAATTGCTGGATATGATTTTATCATACCATCAGTATATTTGCATGAATCAGGTTTAGATATCATTTTAGGAAACAATTTTCTAAAATTATATGAACCATTCATTCAAAGAAAAATTATTGTTCAACTTGGTTGGAAAAATCTTTCAAATCCAACTGAAAGAAAACTTGTTCCTACAAACATCATTACAAGAAACGAGATACTTTACTCTTAACTCAATCATCTTTTTCAAGACAATTGAGATAAGGCTTAAAGATTCATTTGCGGAAATCAATGTCCCAAATAGGATTCCTTATACAATAAGAGATGTAGAAGAATTTCAACAAAATGTGAAGATTTACTGAAGAAAGGTTTAATTCGACCTTCAGCAAGTCCGCATTCAGCTCCAGTTTTTTATGTTGAAAACCATAACGAATTAAAACGTGGTAAACGCCGTATGGTTATCAATTATAAAAAGATGAATGAAGCAACAATTGGTGATTCTTACAAATTACTAAGAAAAGATTAAAGAATGTAACTGGTTTTCATCTCTTGATACAAAATCTGGTTATTATCAATTACGTCTTCATGAAAATACAAAACCTCTGACGGCATTTTCATGTCCGCCTCAGAAACATTACGAATGGAATGTTTTATCATTCGGTTTAAAACAAGCTCCTTCAATATATCAACGATTCATGGATGAATCCCTTGATGGATTAAAATCTATATGTCTTGCATATATTGATGATATTTTGATATTTACAAAAGGAACATCTTCACAACATGAGTCAGATGTTGCCAAAGTTCTTGAGAGAATCAAAGAAAAAGGCATCGTCATATCTGCCAAAAAATCCAAATTGATGAAGTAAGAGATTGAATTCTTAGGCACCATCATCAAACAAAATGGAGAGATAAGCTTAGCTTCTCATGTCCAAGAAAAAATCCATCTCTTTCCAGACCAGTTAGAAAATAGGAAACAAATACAGAGATTCCTTGGTTGTTTAAACTATATAGCCAATGAGGGATACCTGAAAAACCCGGGAACGGGCCGTTCCGGATGCAAAATTTACACACAAAGAGTGCACGCAGAACGGCCCGTTCTGGTTTCAGAACGGGCTGTTCTGGTTCCAGGTATTTTCAAAAAATTGGCATTCACGTGACGAGCCGAAGTCGATATGATTGACGAAGTACGAACCAAATCTCATATCATAGCCGAAGCTTGCAAGCAACGAATGGCTCGTAGATTCAATTCCAATCTCACCAAGAGAAGCTTCAAGGAGGGAGATTTAGTCTGGAGAGTTCTGGGACCGGCAAGACGTAATCCACGGGAAGGCAAGATGGCAGCAAATTGGGATGGCCCGTTCCGGATTCGACATAGCCTTGATAACGGTGCCTACAAACTTGAAGAGCTTTCTGGCAAGATCATCCCCAGAACATGGAATTCATCTCACTTGAAGACATACTACAGCTAATCATTGTAATCTGATCATAATGTAATTCCAAGTTGCACTATTTTCCTTGATCGGTCTTTTCTCCCCTTATAAAAAAGTGAAAAGGGGTTTTGGCCGACAAGGTTTTTAACGAGGCACATATCAATAAAGTACACTTTATCTCATTGTTTGTTGCTGCCCTGTCGCAATTTTAAATCACAAGGCTTCCCTCCCGAGTTGATCAACTCGGCCAAGGATGTGCCTTCAAGGAATCACGCCACAAGGCTTCCCTCCCGAGTTGATCAACTCGGCCAAGGATGTGCCTTCAAGGAATCACGC